ATTGTAACAAGCCACATAATGACCCATACCGACAAACATAATATACTTTACCCACTACAGCATGGATTCAGAAGAGGCCTATTCTGCGAAACACAACTGATCGACTTTATCAATGACATCACCATTAACATGGATGCAGGGAAACAAACAGACTGCCTAATTATGGATTTTTCAAAGGCCTTCGATAAAGTAAGTCACAGTCTACTAACACACAAGCTGGATCACTATGGCATCAGAGGTAAAACCAACAAATGGATACAAAATTTCCTTTCTGATAGGAAACAAGTGGTAGTTGTAGAAGGGGTAAAATCTGATACAATCAATGTAGAATCAGGCGTCCCACAAGGTTCAGTACTCGGACCCAGTTTGTTCCTCTTCTACATAAACGACATGCCAGAAGGTATTCGCTCAAGGGTTATACTCTTTGCCGACGATACCATAGTACAGTCGGGATTCTACTTCGTCAAAATTATCTCCCCATTACGCCAGTTCATTTTTACAATCGTAAAAATGGAAGCCATTGTAGGGATGACGCGCTGCCAATTTAGCTCTTGAAAACCGATATATTTATCCAGATAGCAACATTACGATTCCTATATGCCAGTTATATTTTAAAAGACAAATGTATCTACTAGCTAATGAGCATCAGTTAATGTACTTGTTTGCATTCAGTCAACTTAAAACTATTGTCTGATCGGTTGTCAGGTGGAATTTTCCAAAATTCATAAACATTTAAAAAAAATTCTAATCAAATATTTCATGGAAGGGCAGACTAAAAATTTTCAGTGGTTGAAGACTATAAACCCTTATTATTACACACAAAAAATGAAGTTTTTTCGAAGATATGCATTTTTAAGATCCAACTTAAAACGTCTGTCGTAAAGTTCTTTTAGTAAAAATTTGCTATTCGAACACACCTACTCTGTTTTTGTGATTCATTAGAAAGGTATTTCACTTGACCCATATATTTCATTTTTTAGTACTGTGAATTTTCGATGTTATAAAGTCACCTGTAGCCTTGGTATATAAAAATGATAGAATCTGAAGCGAGATGATGTATCAAATACATTTGCTTTATACGTTTTTAAGACAAAATATTCTACTCAAACACGCCCTAACATAAAAAGGTGCACTCGATTCTCTCTTTTCGATGCAATTGTTGCCCATTTTTGGGAATTTTTTCTTGAGTCACATTATGGAAGGGCAGAAACGAAAATTAAGGAACAAATAGATTGATATGTTCTCTGTCCGTGGTATTTTTTTTTTAAAAGATCAAAGGTTATGCATTTTTTAGATCCAACTGAATAGACACCCATGTCGTCGACTTGATATCTAATTGTTCTGCTTAATTATGTAATAGATAAATTGAAAACTTATGCAAATTGTGTTTTTATGATAAAATACTTTGTAATTTAGCCGAAAACTATTATTTTATTTGTTTCTATTAACTTTTAAAGTTTTTGTTACTATAGTAAACATTACAGTAAGCATTTATCGCCTTCTCTAACAAAGAGCTTCGATTCTTTTGTTCTATTTCAACTGGGTTTCCGCCTGAGTATATCTTACCATTGCATTAGACACAAACGGAGAAAAATTACAAACTAACAATCTGGGAAACAAAATGGAAAATGGCCTTTCATCCCGACATATGCAATGTACTAACAATTTCAAGAAAACGCAAACCTATTGTGAGAGAGTACACACTGCATGGCCACACATGGCTTGGAGTATGCATGCACAGTATGGGACCCTTTCCAGCAGAACAACAAACACCGGCTGGAAATGGTACGAAGAAGAGCAGCAAGATACGTCACTAACAGATATTACAACACCTCATCTGTTAGTGACATGATTACCCAACTCGAATGGAAAACCCTTGAAGATCGGAGAAAAGCATCAAGAATAACAATGATGTACAAACTTGCGAACGGGATGGTTAATGTTAATACAGAAAACACCCTCACTCCATCAGACAGACTATCCCGTAACATAAACATCAACGGTTTCCATGTTCTCTTGTGCAGAACAGAAGTGGGGAAATAATCTATCCAAGAACAATAAGGGACTGGAACGCACTACCACTTACCACCACCAGTGCAGGTAGTCTTGAATATTTCAAGACCCACCTACTTGAGACGGTCTAGACCACCGTCTAGGATGTTTTTAACATCACTGTATATAGAATGTATAGCACAAATCTTCACATTATTTTTCTATAAAATATTTACATGCACATCCAAAAGTGACATAATAATCAATTTATTGATGGTGGCCGCGTAATGGTATAAGTGGTATTGGTGATAACGAAATCAAATTATTAATTTTCCAGTTATACATGGATTTCGTCATTGAAATCCAAAACGTCACTACATACACGGACATAGAGGACGAGTTGGGAAATATAAAGACCATAAGATTTGGTCTAAGGAACATACCCTAAAATAAGAAAATCAACAAAAGAAAACAAGAAATAGCCTCTTTTGTCATAAATTATAGTATAGAGCTTCCCATGTGAAACTTAAATAACAAAATCTAGAAAAGGACAATAATTTGAATTATTTGAAGTTAGTTTGTTAAATATATTCTGCAGTATAATTAGAGAATTTTTAGAATACCCACAACCTGTCGATAAACTTTAAAAGACTATAAAAGACACAACAACAACAACAAAAATTCCACAAAACATAACAATGGACAACTAGAATCTCTGCGAAAACTCCAATTGCCCCGGAAGGGTAAGCAATTCTGCTTCACTAAGTGGCCCCTATCATGTTTCTCATGATAAATAAAACCCAGAAGATAAGTCGCATTTGGCAATGTCACACACGAGGAAAGGTCGACCGGACTGTGGCTACATTTATAATCCATACAAACTTATCAGCTATCATCTAGGATATTGCTAGTCACAACCTTTTCAGACCGGTTCGCGTTAGAAAAGATGAAACGGAGAAAAGATCCTTTCTAAAACATTCTTTTGCAAACAAAGGCCTCGATGCCATTAGCTTTGACAATATTCTTCACCACAAACCAGTTCAATCGAAAATACCTCCCTACTTTAAAGATTATTCTGTACCCATCATCTCTTATACCTATACCAAACTGATTGCAACTCACTCAATTATTCCTTACAAACACGTGTTGCAGGCTCTACCTCCATGAAAAATATGTTGTTGTCTCCGCAGATAAAGGAAAGACACAAACAACATCGCTTTTGTGTGTAAATCACATTACATATACTGCTTGATAAAGGAATAAGGTATTGACAATTCACTTAAAAACTCAACATATAAACCCAAGACACTTACCAAGTAGGAAATCCTGAATATTCATAGGTCTGTTCTATGTTCTTTGGAATTTCCATCAAAGAGGAATAACTGGATCTCCCTTCATATTATTGGATACTTTAATTACATAAGTGTACTTACAAACAACATGCTAGGACTTCCAATTGCTCCGGGAAACCTCTTTAGGAACTACTAGTAATAACATTATTTTTTTTTAATCCAAAGATTTCCTAACATTTACACAAGTACTAGTATTCCACATTCCAAACTTAAAGACAACTTGAAAGAATTGGTCCTACAATATTTTTTGTCAGAAAAAAAGAACGACTAACATTTTGAGAGGGATTTTTTTACTTTCACGGTAAAAAAAACCCACCCTGATTCGAACCAACAATACATAGTTTAGAGGACGTGTTTTTTCAACAAACAATCGGCATTCACATGGGATCTTAACAGTGTTACTCTTCTTGCGGACTTGTTCCTTTATACATATGAGCTGACTTCATTCACGAGTTTCTGAGAAAGAATGAAAAGAAGCTAGCATTATTCTTTAACTTCACGTTCCGCTATATATTTGATGTCCTCTCACTAAATAATCAAAAGTTTGGTGACTATGTTGAACGCATCTATCCCATCGAACTTGAAAAAAGGACACAACAGAAACAGTTAAGTCGGCCTCATATCATGACTTACATCTAGAAATTGACAATTAATGTGGGTCAGTTGAGAACAAAACTTCACGACAAGAAAGATGATTTCAGCTTCCCAATTGTGAACTTTCCATTTTTATGTAGCAACATTCCAGCAGCGTCTACATATGGAGTGTACATCACCCAGTTGATACGATATTCCAGAGCTTGCATTTTCTATCATGATTCCATTGATAGGTGGTTGCTGTTTACAAGGAAGATATTAAACCAAAGGTTCCAAGTTGTGAAGTTGAAGATATATGTTACAATTATCGTAACCACATTCCCGTCACATGTTCTTGGATTGTGATTTCACCGAATTAGACTTATCAACGAATTTGTACTTACATGAGCAACATGACGAATGCCGCATGTGGAGCAGGATCTGCTTACATTCCAGAGTACCTGGAATTACCGCCGTTTTTTTAGTGGGGTTCTTTTTGCTCCGTCTTTAGTTTCTATGTTTTGTTTTGTAAACTGTTGTTTGTCTTTTTTTGCCATGACATTGTCAGTTTGTCTTCAACTTGTGATGGTTATCTGTGACACATAAATTCTATAACGATCAACCAAATCATGATGACGTCTGTAAAACTCTCAATGAAAAAGGCTTTAACTGTACCATTAAGAACTGTGGGGTGAGTAGCTCCCTTGCAAGCAATATTAAAATAAATATCCATGATGTGCTCTATTGTTTGTATATGTATTTCCACTTTTCTTCAGAGGCCATATTTCTGAAAGACTCATAAATTTTTAAAAAATCCATCATTTTGCATTAACCGTAACATCTTGTTGTAATATCAAAAACACCATACGGGTTAATACCATCATCGGTGTAGATACTGTATTAGAGAAACGATTTAGGCATATTTAGCTTAACTCTAATTTCTCAAAAAGATAGGACAATAATAAAACTTTACAAGTTCAATCTTAATTACACAATAAATCTCGCTGAAGAATACACCTTTATATTTATACATAACTGTGATTATATAATATTTTTATCTGATAAAATATTATTATCAACGTTCAATGTAATGTTTGATTGCTTTGTTTATTTTATAGTCGTAAAAGATGGATACAGTGGAGAAAAAGCAAAGAATATGTATTCTGGCTGTCGATGGAAGCAAACATTCAGATTTAGCTTTGAAATGTAAGTTATTCTGTTATCGGATTGACCTAGTTACTTGAATTCATTGAGTCTTGTGTATTTATTAATGCTGTGGTCATTCGTTGACTTCATGACAACTTTTATCGTAAGGTTCAAAACTGGGTTACTAAAGCTAGATTTTCAAATCGAATAACAAATATTTAAAAAAAACAAAAAAAAAAACAGATTGACATACATGTAAAATACAATTATTAAGACCATAAATAATTATATATATATATATATATATATATATATAAGTCTAGAGATTTGCACAACGATACTAATATAAGATGGTATTATACGAAGATGTTGTTAATAAATCGTGTTGACAAATATTTGTTAAGCCGAAATATTTGTCAACATCTTCGTATAATACCATCTTATATTAGTATCGTTGTGCAAATCTCTAGACTTATATAATTTTTTTCCTTATCTGCACAGTATCGTCTATTCTAGACGATCCGGTACATAGTAAATTTGCTGGTTGGTCCTTTTTATAGACTTCTATATATATATATATATATTATATATATATACAACTCGTCTAAACACCAGCCCAACAATGTTAGATCAGTAGATTTGCTTTCGCAAATTTTTTGTGTTTCCCTCGCTGGGATTCGAACTCATGCTACTGAGATATCGTGACACCAAATCGCCTGCACTGTATCCGACGCGCTAGACCACTCTACCACCTACGCTTCACTATAATAAAGCTTTCGGTGGCCGGGTATTACCTTTCCTCGTCAGTTTTAATCTAGCGTCGTAATACAGTACATGATATATAAGGCATGAAGATGAAATTATAATATATATAATTAAAACTATAACACAATTTTCTGCCATTATGGCCTTCTTCATTGCAATAAATTACAACATTGAAACAACAATTACATCGTAACATTGAAACAACAATTACATCGTAATATAGAAACAACAATTACATCGTTGTTTCGTTGTTACGATATATATGAATGTCTAACCGGATTGCTGCTGACGAGTAAAGTTAATTGTGTTGCACTAGTGTCTATGAATATTATTCCACCCATCAAGTAATATAAGTGGTTTGTTTCTGTAATTTTTTTCATTACATTTCAAAAGAAAATACAAAATTTAAGCATTTTGCATTTTCAATGAAACTTTCTGTTTGTTCTCATCTCGGATCTCTTCCGTTTTGTGATCCCAGTGTTTTAATATTCTTTGGTTTTTCCAAAAGCACGGACAAGAACGTCTCAGTTTGATTGAGGAAAGCAAGATTTTTTAACACATTAAGATCCGTTATAGTACATTAAATCATAGCACCGCGCTCAAGTATAAACACAATATTTTTACTCTTCTACTCTTTACACAAGTATTCTTCACCCTAAACTGAAAAGAAGTATTGAAAGAATAAGTCAAAATGTAAAAGGTAATCATATATATGTAAAAAGATGGACAACGTAGTTACAGATTTTTTTTTTGGAAGCGGACAAAGCATACATAGGAGAAAACCACCTTTGTGGCCTATTATTGCTTACTACCACGGCATTTTAACTCTGATGGATAGTTGTCTCATTGGCATTCATACCACATCTCCTCATTCCTATATTGATTTTAACAAGGAGTTTTTAAATGGCATATTTTTTTTCTATTGACAACATAATATTTACGTTTGATATGTTTTACAACATACATTTGCTAAAGGAGCAAATTGCGCTCTTGTGCTCACCTTTGTGTTCTTTATTCGTAACAATACACAGTTTTAATGACAGCAACTTAAGGTGGATCATTGGTATACATTTCCTCAGATAGAATTTTCTTATACTTTGCCAGAATGTAGATTTTTTCAATGTTTTTTTTTCAAAAATATAATAAAAAGTATGGGTCACCGTGCTATTTTTCAAGCTACAAGTCATGCAAAATTGCCCAAATTTGCATAGATTGGTCATAAAAAAACCACTTTTTTGTGAAATAAAAAGAAATCTATGAGATAGAATTTTGAAATAAAATTTGAGAAGATAGGTTTTGAAATATGCTTTAAGAAAATAAAAAGAAAAAATGGTATCATCGACCTTGTTTTCTTGTAAAAATTGGAAATTTCTCTATCATTCCTTAATAGGAAATTTACTATTTGAGTTATCTCCCTTTAAATGGTTAAATTGGCAATTTGATTCAAACAAACTCAAACATTTGGTATTTGACAAATCAGTCTGAATAATGTAATACATCACTTATTTTTCTTTATTCCAATAAACAGTCTAACCCATTAATTGCCAATCTGTCTCAAGATGTGCAGATTTAAGCAAAGAATTAGACCTATTGAGAACTAATATTTCACAATCCAAGATGGCGGTATACAGTTAATCTGCCTTAATCCATGTATGTTTTATTTTTAGTTTTAGTGCACATGTCCATATTTAAACCAACATTACAAAATGTCTTCATTATTTATTATATGATTACCATTACTTTGAACACATAAAATAACGTGAATGAATAATTGTGTATGTATTAAACAGGGTATACTGAAAATGTTCACAAATCTGGGGACAAAGTTTTGCTTACACATTGTGTTGACCACAGAAAACATCTTACTTATGGATGTAAGTATAAACAGTTTTTGCAAGAATAAGAACGAATAGTATTGACAAAAGAAGATATCTTACACTGACGTACAAATCTTGAACACAAAACATGTTACATATAACTGTATGTAGTATAAATAGTAGCTAATATGGGGACAAAGGGTTTAACGTATGGTTTTGACCACAGAAAATATCGTGCATAATGTGAGAGCAATCATTTGCTTTGTTATATAAATATCATATCTGCATGCACACAAAACAACTGAAATTAAAACATCAGTTTTAGGAATCATTATCGAGTTATTATCAATGCTGGAGTATAAGGGAAATATGAGGAAGAAAACACCTAATAGGATGCCAACGAAAAAAATATGTGCCCTTTCCCCAAGATCAAACTTGCCCTTCTCTTCACTGACGCCTTGTCTTTTCAATATCTAGCACTGTAGCAATTTCTTTGGGAGGCAAATATCATGAATAAAAACCGCTCTGGTGTTGTAGTTATAACGTGCTCGTCTCGATTGTAGGAGGTAGTGGGTTCGATATCAAGTTGGTTCAAACCAAAGACTTGAATATGCTGTTTTTTCCGCTAAGCACACAACACTTTGTAAAGAGCAAATACTGGTCGGGTTGGAGTCGAGTAAATATCAGGATAGGGGCATGTCTTTCTGCAAACTGTCAGCTTGTGAGATTTAACGTTAAACCACATCTCAGTGTGTCCGTACAAAGCAGGGTGCATACTCATGCTATTTTGATGGATGTGATTAACGGAACAGTTCACAATGATTTGACAGGAAACAATTCTTTAAGAATTGAATGCTTCTTTTTATAATTTTACTGGGGTGTAAAGCGTTGACCGAAGCACACTTTTTATGGTATTGTGTATAACAGTTACTGTTCAAAAACGTCTTCATTATTTCCGTTTTCTCCTTTATTTCACGTGTCCTTCCTCATATCTTACAACACTTCAGTGTATATGTACTTACAAACTGTTGTTTGTTGTACAGTATGACCAAGAATACGCAAGATTAAGGAAAGTAAGATGAAACAATCACAGGTACTTGTGGACAGGATACCCTTTGGGTGCCCCTGAGTGGGAGTACCCGTAATGACCCCGCATGTAGTTTAATTTTGATTTAATTTTGTATTAAACGTTAATGTATATATATCAGTCGACCGGCAAAAATCTCAAATGCTATTTATCAGTAACTTCGACATATATTCCAAGTGAAAACAATTTGAATAAACGTTTAATAGAAAATAAATCAAAATCAAACTACATAGGGGGTAATTCGGGGTACTCCCACTCAGGAAACTAGGTTGACACAATAATGCAGAAAATTGTATGTTGTCACAGTTGAATATTTTTAAGTTGTGGTTAAAGAGGAAATAAAAACACACCATTTCAGAGATAGTGATACAAAATGTAAAATTCAGGGAAGAAAGCCCCCCATAAACTGCAGAAATATTATTTTTCACAATAAAGGGAGGGATGTGCATTGAGTTACACTGAGTAGATAGGTTATAAGTTTTACAATTCATTACATGACAAACCACAGTTTTGAGGATAAATTATTAAATTTTACAAAACATATTATCGATCATTGCAGCTGTTTCCATGGTACCAGGTAATCCCGATTCTATCACTCACGCTTTCGCAGCAGAAGAGAAGAAAGCCAAAGAGCTGATGGAAAAGTATGTAGCGGATTGTAAAAAGCTTGGAGTGAGTATATAAAAGCACATTTACTTTTTTAATGATTTACAGTTGACTCATTGTAATGAATTCGCTAACGATATTTGTGCACAAACTTAAGTACTTTACAATGCAAACTTTTTAAAAAAAATTTGGGGAAGAAATATTTTCAGCGGCTATATGGTGGGTTATTTTATCAAAGTTTCCCTCTTTTTAACAAGCACCTGCATTCTCATTCTGTGTTTTTCTTTTTTGGTGATGGTGTTATGGCTAATGAGTTTTATACCCCCTTGGTATCTTTTCTCTCATTTTAGTAAGTATGTTTAATTAATAAAATAATTCATTGAAATATCTATTTGACAGCTACATGATGTAGATTTAGTGAAAGTCATCGGTGAACCTGGAGATGGAGTCATTAAAGCTGCTGAAGAAAAGAAAGCAGACATGATTATCACAGGCTGTCGAGGTTTAGGACAGATCAGAAGAACAATGGTCGGCAGTGTAAGCGACTATATATTACATCATTCGCATGTACCCGTCTTTGTTTGTAGACATTAACTGCTAAAATATACATTTCTAGGGTTACAGATAAAGATCAAAGATTGATATTATGAGAATACTTATTATTATGAAAAATATACACAATTTCAGGCTACGTAATTGGGCAAACTACATATATATATATATATATTCTTACAGTTCCGATGATATTTATACTTACGTATTAGAGAAGGGTGTCATTTAATTATACAAGTGGTTAAACTATTTCTGATTTCCAAGTTTAAAAAAAATCTAATCAGTTGGTTATATTGTAAACAGAATAAAATATTCAAAATGTATTCTTTGGATTTGTTTTCCATGTCTCATCTTCTATAATAAAGCTTTAATTTTGGATGTACATGCAATGGTAGGTAAAAGATTCAAATAGTGTATTCCGAGAAACACCCAAATCAAATTACATGTACTACATTTTATAAAACCAAAGAGGTCCTCCTATCCGAGACCAAGTCCTATTTGTTTTATACTTATAGATTTATTTTTCTTAAGATAAAGCTACCAGATCTCTGATGCATTTTGGAAAATTCTACCATTGTGCAATAAAACAACTGACTACAAAATCGGTGTCTTCTTCGGTCGGTTCAATTAGTTTATGTAAATGATTTTAAATGATTTGCTTATTAAAGACGCCTAAATGCAAGCTTAGATTTGAAAAATCTATCAAATATGCCACAAAATGTCACTGTTCAGATGGTTTTTGTTTCAAATGGAAGTGGCCGCATTCGTGTTTAGTCTCAACCTTTATATATGTTAGGTATAATCATCAAGTACAACATAGATTTTTAAAAATATTAATACTGAACACAAGTGCAGCCACTTCCATTTTAGACAAAAACCGTCTAAAATTTAGCGCAAATGCTAAAATTGTGAAGATTTCAGTAGATTTGCATGAATTAATGATGCTAGTACCTGATGAATGTGCAGTGTAATGTCAAAAACAGCCCATATGTATGTAACAAAAGTATTCCAATATATTGCTAAAAGTTTACATTTTTAACACATTTTTGAAATGCTATATTTTGGGGCCAAAACGGAGTCTTACCGGGCCTACTCCTTTAAAAAGGACACTATTTGAAATGAACGTCACACGTATGCCTTATAGACTAGCACAGTTTGTTTAAGGTCTGATCTACGGCTCGGTGCAACTTATGTTTGACAGAAACTTTAAGAAACAAAAATAAAATCTCAACCTTTCTTATACCGTAGATAATGAATGAAAGTAACAGGAGTTGTAAAAATATCAACATTTGTATAAAAGGAAAAAACAATCGACAGTAAAATGGAGTAAAATACTTACTATCTAGCAAATTTAAGGAAATGTTATCGTTGGTACCCCATTCTTACCCTCAGTGAGGGTAAGTACTAGTAATATTTTGTCATCGTTGTGGAACATTTGAGGCTTTGGATTGATCCGCTGATGAGCTGATGATATAAAATGGTAGTCCGTAATGTTGGCCACATTCTGTATGTGCCTGTCCCAAGTCAGGAGCCTGTAATTCAGTGGTTGTCGTTTGTTGCTGTGTAACATAAATTTATTTTTCGTTCATTATTTTGTACATAAATTAGGCCGTTAGTTTTCTCGTTTGAATTGTTTTATATTTGTCATATTTGGCCTTTTATAGCTTACTATGCGGTATGGGCTTTGTTCATTGTTGAAGGCCGTACGGTGACCTTAAGTTTATAATTTCTGTGTCATTTGGTCTCTTGTGGAGAGTTGTCTCATTGGCATTCTTACCACATCTTCTTATTTTTATATAATTTGTTTTCCTGTACTTCCAAACTACACAGATCGTAACATATTACTGTATTTTTACAGATAACTGTTGAATGTTATTTCCGTCTCATTCGTAAAAAATATTTTTTAGTGAATTACTGTTCCGTTCTTTTTTCTCTTACATTACTCAATGTGAATGAACTAATTCTCTTACCATTATTATAGATCTAAGAGCAATCACATCGATTATGTAGTTGATGAAAAAATGTACGTTTAGAAGAAGATTGTTATATATTTTGCATTAAATAGACTCACAAGACACGTATATCATGTATATATCAAAGTTAACTCCAAAGTCAATTAAAACTTTGTGTGCAGATAGTGATCTTCTAAACTCAAAGTTCCTAACCAAAGCGAGATAATGAGCATAGAACATGGTGTTTGAACTTTAAAAAATTGAATAATTATCCTGATGGTATTGTTTTTGCTTACATAGCAGTACTTTTGGTTACATAGCAGTACTTTTGGTTACATAGCAGTACTTTTGGTTGCATAACAGTACTTTTGGCAAATTTTACCGTGTTAAGAACACAAAACTGTCTACGCCGTAGCGGCTTGATCAAACCGACTCCAAATTTATGGCGCAATAGTTGCATGGAGCTCAAGTAGGGTACCCCCCCCCCATTTATGTCACAGGGTCGCGTTTAAAAAACGCCCCAGTTCACCAAGTTACTTTAATGCAAATTTGACAGGTTAACGTTTAACAATAAACCTGTCAGGTCGCAAGGTCGCTCGCCAAACCCTAGGTCGTAAGTAGGATTTGACCATGTTTAAGCCACTTGCCTTCGAGTCGAGGATTTCGATAGGCTCAACTTGTTTTTCCTTTAATGGTCCAATAGTTACGTTTTTTGTGTACATTTAGTCACCTGTTGGCAAAGACTAGTCTCACTCAAGTCTGTTGAAGGTGTCCAAATTTTGCTTGGTTTATGTTAGGTATTGTCATCTCTTAGTTTCAATTTTATCTCTAAACATTTCGCATTTAAATCTTCTGCAAAACCACTTGACAGGAATCTTCATTGGAAGGTAGTTTACAAAAAACTTATCGAAGATACCGGTCTTACAATTTGGTACACCAGATGTCCGTTTAGTATACATAAGAGTCATTTTTGGTATCGATCAGAAATTAAAAAAAGGCATCTATGGCCAAAACTATTCTCAGAGATTTCAAAGATCTTCTGAAGAATCCCTGGCATATTAAATTGTGATATTGTAGGAATGTTCCGTTGATGGTCCTTGACCACACTACAAGTAGTACCTACAGCTTCTTCAGAAACCATTCCACACACTTAATAAAGCACAAATCTTGCGATTACTATCAACATTTATCTGTAACCACACTTGTGAATATGTCTACTGGTAATTACCTGCGTCACGTGATCTTACACAGGTAGTTTAATATAAGTATATTGACCATTACAATACGTATTGGCGTAGTCGAGTAGTTCAGACATAATCCACTTCATTACAGCTTTAGTTATGAACAAAAATTGACACATTGTGTGATTGAAAGATATATATATATATAGGAGTGGTGTCTGGCCAGCTATATAATATCACAATATGGCGAACATAAACCACTCGAGTTACGGTAGCTCATGTAGAAAAAAGAGGCAAAAAATACAAAAGGGACATTCAAAAATCATAAGCTGAAGAAAACCGACAAAACCGTTAAAAAAATCGCAAAACGACGAAAAGACAAAAACAAAAGGCTTGTACGCGTTTAGGGGCTAAAAGGAATAAAAAAATTAGGAATACAATGTTAAAGAGAAATTCTAAATATTGTATATACTCGGGACAATATTCAAGCGAGACAAAGACTAACCCACTTATCGTGTGACAATACTAACAACACTGAAAAAACTTAATTGACACCGGAAGATGGCATTCCTCGAATGCTTAAGCTTTTAAGAACCATACAGACTGGTTTTCACCATTTTAAGCACTCCGGTAATCAAGATACCCTTTTTCAAAAATGTCGGGAATGATTACTGTTAAAGGGAGACCAAGTGTCGTCTTATCAGTGAGTATCTGATATATGCAGGTGGTACGTCATCGATAATTTTGAATTTTGAATTGATTTTTAAACAATTATATGTATTATACAATTACTGTCTTTTGGTGAGGTAAATATGTGGTTTTATTGTCCTTGAAAAGAACCCTGATATTCACTGAACTCAAAAGAAAACTAAACCACACCCAACAGTTAATGTCCTATAATGTTTTTACTTATTAACAACCATATACCAAAACCAAATTAATTGTAAAATGTTAACAAATAGTTATACATGTAAAACACATTACGCTTAGCCCTGTGAAAACGAATGTTAACCTTTAATGTGTATGCCCTTTGGGGCCCTTACTTTGAGTAAAAGAGAGACGAAAGATACCAAAGGGATATTCAAACTCATAAGTCAAAAATAAACTGACAATAAAATATTCTTTTCCTTTTATAGTCTTCTTCTGCGATCAAAGTTCTTTACCAAACATAAATAAATAGCATAACCAAAATATTGTCTGAAGTTTCAACAATTTTTAAAATAGTTTTCCGACAAAAGCAATATATCAGTGCTTTGTGTACTTTGGGTAAATATGACCGTGTTCCGACAGCAAAACTGTATATGAATAACTAGCAAACCAGAGCGGCAATAATATGGCGCAATAGTTATATTCAAGTTGGTTATTTCGAGGGGCCCTGGCTTTCATATGGTTTACCCGTTTGGTTTCACGTTAAGAAACTTTAGAGGTCCGTACCTTCCTATAATGATTCAAAAGTTACTGTGTTTTTCCTTTTTCATTTGGGTTTTTAACCAAAGAAGGTTGTGTTCACAACACTCACTTTACACGGAATACAGACAAACATACGTTTATCCAGTGGAGCCCCATTTTCAATAACATCATCATTCAAAGTTCATTATTTATATCATCAGTTTATATCTTTCTCAACATAAAAAAAAACTTCAACAATAAAAATTCTGCACATTTCCCAGTGCAAATTCAGTAAAACTTTAAATTTCTTTTAATCAACACAATTTATCTTATTGGATTTCTCCTCAAAATCAAGAATCGTGAACACATAAATTGGTTCAACAATATTGAATTTTAATTAAATTCATTTTGTATTTGTAAATCCTTCTTTTTTACTTATCTTGCAAACACTGACAAATGGATCTTTTCAATCTTTGGTCCATTTTCCGTAGATTAGAGAAATTTAGGGAAAAATATCACAAACAATCAAAACTGTAGCAAGGATTAACACTTTTGACATTAGTTACTATGCAAATCCTAAACAGACCTTATTCCGATGTAAACATTGAATGCAAATTCACCGAGAAGACCGCTCATACTTGTTTAAATATCGAGACGACCTATTCTTAAAATTTTTTTAAATAATTAAAAGAGTTAACGGACAACTTACTTTCTAAGAATATCTTTATTTAATATTTTTAACCAGAACAGATCGAGACATATATTATTTTTGTTCATTGTTTTGTACATAAATTAGACAGT